TTTTATTAGCTTGTATTTTTTTTTACCGATTCATAGACTTTGGAAAATCGTCCCCAAATTATTTATTACCCGATTATTAGACGTATCATTGACCATATACAACTACGTACAATAGATCAGGATGGTGATTTCGTCAATTTTCGTGTTGAAGTCATCACTATAAGATTGCACATAAAACCCTTGTCATAATGGGTATCATTTATAGTCAAATAAATCATATAGGCAGTTTAATATGCATTCCAGCGTTCAGTCAATAACAAGCTCTCAAACCATTGAGATGTGAGAGTAAACAGTTAATCAAAGCATTGAGATATCTCAGAAAACAGCTTATATGTCGAAAAAAAACTTATCAAAACATACAGTTCAAAAGGAGTCTTGTTATAAAAATAAGAAGCCCAGGTGGAGAATGAGTTGGATACTTTGTTGTTGTATACAAAGTGGACAAGGTTCTAAGTTTTTAGTCTCTGGTCACATTGGATGAAGTTATTGCGCACTATGAGATTCATGCTCATCAGCCGTATGCATCGTCAACATATGGTAACAGCGATAAAATTTGTATTTTAATTCAACATCAAGATTTGTGTCCTTTACCATCCAGAAGTTCTTTACATGTTTATGGAAGATTGGTCAAAGTAGATTAAAATATTGCAGTAACAAATACTGCATTAATAAACAACACCATTTGCCACTTATTTAAAAAACTAAGATATAAGATAAATGCCACAGAGGTGGACAAGTGCAAAACTGTTGGATTAACAATCTTTATGAAAAATTTTGTATTGGTATTATTAATTTTCTGCCAATACGTCAGTTTATTGTTTAGTTTTGTATGACCGTATCGTACAGTACAGTCTAATTAGTGCGAATGTCAAAAAACTTGTGTAAAGATGTATAAGGTCAGTTTAGAGCTTTGCTAGTATTAGTTTATTGTTAACCACCATGGATGAATGTCGGAGCAACAGGTAGAGTAAAAAAAGCAGAAAATAAACGACGATAAGAAGAGTGGGAAAAATTTATGAAGAGTAACGAAAAGAAAGACATAAAGATTTAAAAAACAAAATCTGAGGGAAAATCAAAAGATAAAGACTGTAAAATTGTTATAAAACTAATCTGTTTAATACGCTTTTCTTTAATAAATCTGTCACATAAGCCGTGTACGAGTACTACTGTTGAGTATCAGAAAATCTTAACTTTAGATGATGATCATAAAAATAAGAAATCAAGGCCAAAAAACCTCGTTGGTTAGGATTCAACCGACAGAGGGTTTTGTCCTAAAAATGAAGGTTATGAAAAAATGAAAAGAAACAATAAAATTAAATTTTATAATAGCAAAAAATAGAGTATTTTGTGGACGTACAGGCATTTAACTAAGGCCACATATTCATAGATTGAGCATGCAGTGAGAAAAATTGTACTCCAAAAATGGAAAGAGAGAAAAAGAGTTTGGTGTACCCCCTCTTCCGCCCTATCACTCTGATTAGCTGTTAAACGGTGATATGTATAGGTATACCTTAAAAACAGTGACAAAGCATAGTGAGGTAAGATCGATAAAACAGGTATCTCATTTATAAAACTCTTAATTAAGAAAAAATTGTTAGAAGACAAGCGTGTAATACTTAACCTTACATTTACAAGAAACTATCTACAATAATCCATTACGTATCTATTAGCTTGCTTCAGCTGAAGCAACGGTAGTTGACGATATGTCACTTTTATGTATAATTTATTAGTATCGATGGTAACGCTAGCAGTTATGCTTTTGCTCCACAAGTCGAAGATCTGGGTTTCAAATCCACTGACGTCAAATTTTTTTTTTCAATTTTCAGTCAAATCTTTGATCTATTATGGATCCAATACTACGTGTATAGTATGATTATGTTAACTCTCATGATAATCACTATAAAGTTCAAATTCTTAATTGTAACTGAAACAATGTTTTTAAAATTAAATCTATACAATAAGTATTGGAAATCATCTATTCTGAAATTAGACAAAATACGGCAATATTATGACAAATGTTAAAATTAAACATTGTAACAATGAGTACTACGTCTAGATGACTGTAAAATTGTGTAAAGTAAATAGTTGTATGCTGCTTTGTAGGCTTTGTAGTTAGCTTTTCAGGCTTGAGTTGGAAATTTATTTGTTGAAAGTGTGTTGATGAAACATATCATTTTGAAATGATTTGTGATAAGTTTTAAGTACTTCGCACGATTGAATGAAAATAACAAAAAACCTGCTGTGTTCCCACGTGTAAAACTAAAAACTATGAGTTGAGAGCAGAAAACATAACCTTTCATAGGTACGCAGCATGAATCTTAATGTAAATAAACAAATAAAAGTTATTGCTGTGTTAACAGAGAAATTATGTACGGTGTGGGCCAAGACACAGAAAGAAGATTAAGATTGACGGAAGTATTGTCAGTAAAATGTAATATTCAAGTATCAAATGATTTTTTTGCATACAGCAAATATTTTTAGCCTAAATGCTTGTACTTTTTTGTTTTTGTTAAAAATGTGAGACGGAAGAAAGATTGCGTCCTAAGTATTTTTAGTGAAGCTGATGTTAAAGCGTAAGAAAAAATTAAAATTTTAATGGCATGAATAGTATTTTTTAAATTTTGAAACACGTACATATACAGATAAAAATTTCCAAAAAAACAGTTATCAAAAGTACCAACTTTAAAACTACAATAAAGATTAACAAGCAGCTTTAAAGTGTAACAGAGCAAATTCATTTTTTTAATGAAAGCTAGACTTGCATCTCAGGGGTATGAAAATTCGATACCTTTACAGGAGACTATTATAAATGGAACGGATCCCTTGTCTAGTAATATTTATAGGTAACCTAATGTAAAATAAAAGTAGAAAAATAAAAGTTAGCCTACAAAATGTTTTTTTTAATTCAGTGCATCATTTACTACTTAATGCGTAGACCAATTTTGGTACCTTGAATCATCGTTTCAAGAGTCTTAGATCAAGCTACCACTACTGAAATAATGAAAGCAATGTAGTAACAGCGAAATCTTTTAATATTGGATTTGCAGCTGGAGTTGCATTGAAAAAAGTAAACGATATTAAAGAAATCGGTATCCTCGGGCTTAAACAAGACTGGCGTTTCTTTATAATTTATATTTAAAAAAAGTTAATGCTCCTAAGTCCTCTCAAAGTCAAACATGTTGAGGGAGTCAGCTATTTAAATCCAAGAATTATGTTGAAAGAAAAAACTTTTAAAACAAGATTGAGGAATACTTTAGAAATATTAGTCGAGAAAAATTAAATGAATGCATTTGATGCTGATTTAGTAAAAAAAGAGTTTTGTACGTTAGTATTTAAAGACAATAGTCAAATGAAGCTAAAAAATTTTGATATAAAATGTCATCGATTAGACATGTTTTTATTAGGAATATTTTTTTTTTAAATCATCAGATAAACTTCAAAATTTTTGTAAAAAAAATTATATTTTGTTTCACGGGAATTTAAGCATTGAACGAAATTTTTCTGTCTAAAATTAGTTTTTGTTCAAAAATCTGACGGAAAACAGTTTACTAGCATAAAGATGTATACATAATGCTATTAAAAGTGCCGAAGGCTTCAAGAATATTAATATAACTGATAAAATGATATTAGATTACAAAAGCTCATCAATAAACCGAAAAGATGCCGAGAAGACAAAGAAAAGAAGAAAAATTTTGGACACAAGCTAAAGAAAAACTTGAAACAATTAAATCAAAGAAGTTAGAAGTTGCAAAAATTGCTAAAGAAGAAACAAAAAATCTTGAATTAAAAGAAGGAAAACTGAAAGAAGTATCAAAATCAACCTCAAAATTAAGTTTATTCAAAATATAATCATTTTTTAATCAAACTTTATTTCAATGTATAAAACATTTAATATTTCAATGTATAATATATTTTATGATTATTCTGTAAAAATAAAACTATTACAGTACAAAAAATTGTATTCAGAATTTTATCCTTAAAAAATTATATTTATATCTTCAAATATCCTTCTAATAGCCTTAAATCTTTTTTTTTAGCTTGATAGACACCCTTTACTAAGTGCTGTTTGTTACAGTAGGGTGTATTAACAGAACTAGCGATTTTTAAGACCAGAATTATTTGTTATAGCTCGGACGGTACTCTTTTTCAACAGTTTGAAACTTTTCCACTCCAAATGTCATTTTTCTTTTATTTTTTAACGATGGTTAGAAACAAAACCATTAAGCAATGTTTAGTTTCAGATCATTTCAGGACTCATTGTACAAGAAAAATTTTTTTACGAAAAAAGAAATGAAAGTATGAGAAATGGTGTAAAATTTTTTTTGGGGAAACGTGTAAAAATTTATTCTAATAACTAATAATCGCAAAAAAGAGTTATTGGATAAAAGGAATCAGAATATTGGTCATGGGAAAATAGAAATCGGAAAACTTGTCAGCCGAAATTTTGTGTGCTGGGAAGAATTGTTTGTCGAAAAAATGGAATCAGATAAAAGGTTTGAAATTTTTATTGATATTTAATCACATGAAAAATAAAACAAACTTTATTAGAGTTACTAAAAAAAGGTTTTGAAGCGCCAAAAAAATTGAAAAACTCGTATCAGATTACTTTTACATCCATATAAGTAGATGTTCGCTGCATACAGTTGAATTTAGTAATAACAGTGATTTGAATGTATTTTAAAGCTTTGAGAACGTTAATGACTCTTCAGAAAACTTTTTGCATAATACAAAGCTTCCTTTTTCAGAATCAAAATTGTCACTCCACATTTTAGGATGTAACAAAAGATTGGCAAAAGTCCTTACAATTTTCTCTGAGAAAAGTTGAATAGCTTATTTTTTAAGTTCTATAATTTTCAATACTGTTTGATTAAGATCATTGGTGTATCCTATTTTTGTTTTACTGTATTGACAAAAGCTATTGTTTAATAAAACTAAACTAAAAAAAAGGTAACAAGAAAAATAAAGTCATCTTGATAATAACGTCAAATAGGATAACTTACGTTTTTAGATTCAAGTGTTGCTGGTGTCTGATTGTCACAAGAAGTGCATTCCATTTTAGTCATCCCATTATTGTTTGCAATACATTCACAAATCTGACACGTAATTGGTATAGCTGTTGAAACTAATCTTTGGGAAAAAACACTCAAAAAATTTTTTACCGAGCTAGGTTTTTCGTATGAATATAATTTACTGCCATCAAACAATGTGCCATTTGTTTCAAGTGCAAGTGGTGCACAGTAACCTAAAGCCATTTTTGATAATTTATCCTGTATACGTAGATCCTCATCGCCAGTAAAGTTATGTAAATCCTTTTTAGTATAAGATTGATTAGCATCAAAACCATAGAACATCGTGTTTACCTGATCTTTTTTAAACTTAAACTGATTTATTAAAATATGTAACTTGATGTTTCTTTCCTGCAGTGCATGATAAAGTACTGAATAGTCTAGCTGAAATATAAGATTTTTTTATTCTTCAACAATGAAAAGCTATGACTTGATGCTTATTATAAGAATAAATATAACACAAAATAAAAGTATTACGTTGTATTCATATTTAAATGGATTCTAAACGACGATGAGCTGATGTACTTTTGTCAAAATAATAGCTTGTAAGAACGTATGTTATAACGTTGTCATTGTTATAAATAGTATGAGAGGTTGTAAATAAGGAGCGTCAAATCGAGAAATCCAACATGGGATATTATATACATTTGTGTAGGACAGACAGTTGGAAATAGATATATCAATGAGCGCAGACTAAAAAGTTATAGACAAATTTTAAAGATCAATAGTTTAAAAGAACATCGAATTGCAGTGTCGATAAAGATTAAATTATTACTTGACGGTTCTTCTGAGGCTAATAACAGACTCGTAAAAATAGCTTCATTTGAGTTCGTTTAATGTATTAATTAATTTAACTCACAACAGTATTCATCAACACATTTAACGAAAAGAGTAATAAAATACAAAATTATGAGTAGTTCTTAAAAAAAAAAAAAAGAATAATGTATCAAAACTCAAAAAATGAATCGATTATCTCTTATGATTGATTCACATAAAAACAAATCTTAACAGTCTAGCATAAATAAACTTTGTGTGGCATGCAGGACTTCGTCATAAAAATTCAGCTTGTACATGGCAATAAAATAAAAATGAACTTTTCACAAGAAAGGGTAAGTAAGCTTGTTAAAAATAAATGAGCCTGGGACTATAAATACTTAATAGCATCTTTTATAATACACTGGAATTTTTTAATACTAATACTCCATTTTTAACATGAGGTATCTTTCCTCAGCAACGGTTATCTATACACTGAATATACGTATCGTCATCAAACATGCATCAATCACAGAACTCGAGTGCTTCTACGCATGCTCAATGCCTTAGCATCCCAGCGTCGTGCGCGTAATTTCAAATTTACTTATATTCTAACAAAGCTGGAAAGGCAAGTTTTAGTATTTTCGTATAGCTGAGCCAAAGATGCTCATTTGTTTGGTAACTAAGAAAGAAAAGAACTGACACTCCTGGCGTTTAATAGAAGAACTTTGAAAAGTCCAGAAACGCAAAAAGGTTCGCACTGTGTAAGACAGTGCAGTCAACACCTTCATACCTCTTGCGCATTTGCCTCGTAAGATGGCGTTGTACTGCACGGTATTTTTATATGTTGGCACGTCTACCTTCTGTGTATACTACATAGTCTGTAGAGCTGCACTCACACGCTCTTTTGACCTGCGTGCACGGCATTTTTAAGTGTAAAGAGAAGTAGTCGTCCTTGCGTTGAGCATATATACGTACAATAAATACGGTGACTTTTAAATCAGACTATGATAATAAAGTAACTCAGTACTGTCACTAATAACTGTTTTATTAAATACAAATGAAAAATAAAAAAAAATATTGATGATAAAGATGCAATCAATAAAAAAATCACAATACGTGTCTACTTACAACATATGAACCATCATTTTTCGAAAAAATAAGGGATGGAGTAATAGTAATTAAAGAATCGTAATGTATGTATTCGCAATTTTCCTTTTAGACATACACAGAATCTGCTGAAAAATGCTCATTAAATTCAATTTGTTTTTTTGGAATGTATCTAACAATAATTTTCTTGTCTACCACAAATATATTTATTATTTTGTTGTATTGTATACCATCATTTTCGACAATTTTTGCAACTATGCACGTTTTTTTTTTTAATCAAATTTATTATTAGTAATTTTACTTAATTTAGTCCTGTTACTTTCTAAAGGAAGCGAAATATTTACTTCAGAACCAGCTACAGCTGAGCCTTTTAATACACACATTTTATTATACTTTTCAAAAGGCTGCAACTTTAAACTACGTTGCATTCGAATCCTAACAGTCTTTAAGATTATGGTTTATATGTTATGAGTAGACACGTATTGTGATTTTCTTACTGATTGCATATTTATTATCAATAAAATTTTTTATTATCAATTACTTTTTTTTCTTTGAGATCTTAAATTTTTTCTGCTCTCGCTCCAGCTCTTCTTTAACACATATTGATTATTTTTCTTTCACCTTCTTGAGGTCGACAAAATAATTCTTATGCGTTTAAGCGGTCGTGATCTCAAAAAAAGTGTGTGTACTATGGGAATTGCATGCAAACAGAAGTTTTTGTCATTAAAGGTATAAACCGATCAGCCAAATAAACGTCGTGACTCAAAAAAATTGAAACTATGGTCAAGAAAGTTTCAATACATCGAAATAAGTGGCCGTTTTCGATTTAAGTTGGAGGAGATAGGCTGTCTTATTGGTAAAAACACAATTTGAATTAAAATTTTTTTCGATCACTTCAAACAACGCTTTAGAGACAAAATATACATATTTTGGGGACCAGGCAGAACACCTGTAATATTCTATAAATTGTCTGTCGAGAAGGATGTTTCTAGTAGATGGTATTTGGAGAATGGAAACATCACTAAATTAGAAAAGAAATTTATATTGAGTACTCTGGCTGGAATTCTTAAAAATGATTTTCCACTGACTGCAAATTGATAAGCCGTGGTCAGAAGTATAGTCAAATACGGAAATTGAAACTTTACTTAACAGATTGTTTGGTATCTTATTGATGCACAGCCAATGCGCAACACCTAGTATACTAGCTTGATTCTTCGTGGCTATGCCTTTAGTGTTTTCAATCATGGAGGGTTTGGGGTACTGTAAAGTAAGAACAATAACCAGCAAGCAGCCGATCTAAATGAAACGAGAGGAGCTCGTAATTCATTTGATAGTATCAAGCTGTGAGAGTGGCTTGATGCTCACCAGCCCTTTACCGAATGTGTTGATTTAAAATCCTTAAGCACTGGACTTATTGCAGAAGAAACTGTAAGCTGTCATCTAACGATTGAAAGGAGAGAGCAAGGTATGAAGAAGATGATTGGCAAAATAATATTGCACTATGCTCTATCTCAGATGTTAAACTTTAAACCTTTGTCTATCATTAAACACAAACACAAACATACAAAATATAACCTAACCATACATTACATCACAAAAATTTACGGTTTGTTAAATTTTCTTACATTATTTTTTTCCGTTGGGGCACTTTTAAATATGGACTGATTTTCCCTTGGAATGAAAAGTATATTTAAAGTATAAGTAAAATCCGTGAACGAAAAGGAGTTGTAAAATCAATTACTAGATTTATTGTTGACGAGCGTGTTGAGAGACCGGAAACAATATAAAATGTACATTTACAAGATGCTAATTATCAATTAGGTAACCAAGGTGGTAAATATTATTTACGAAATGATGAAATAATAAGCATAAGTCTCATTTGTACCTCATAAGGACATCCACTCTGGCCAAGTGAGTAAGACACTCGACTACGAGTCCTCCGGACCAGGTTCAAATTCCCTAACTGGAGCAAAGAGATGTTTTTTTCTACTACTTATAGTAGCTTTTCTAACAGCTTTTAAGCAAAAAAAATTTAAAATTACATGGGTTACAATTTATACTTTTTTATTTTTTAGTTGATGAAAATCTTGCTTAATATCGTGTAGGAAATCATGTAGACTATCATGCAAGAAGTTTTACACCACATCCTATAAGATTTCGTGTAGCATATCATGTAAGATGTCGTGTAGGATATACGAGACGGCCAAGAAATGTACGTATCACTTATATAAGTCTTATTATGAATTTGATTGTAATGTTAACGAATTACAAACTGTTGAGCAAAACGACAGCTGCGGCGAAAAAATAACTTACCTTAGTACTGCTTTTGACAACGAGAGTTGCCCTTAGAGACTACACCAAACGTGTTTGCTTACAAGTACAGTCATGGATATGAAAGTCAATGAAACCTGCTCACTGGGGGTGGGAAAATACGGGAACCATTTTATTTCCTGTAATAACAACGCAAACACCAGGTCGAGAGGATCTCTCGCGTCAGGTATACAATGGAAAGCTTCTTTAATTCTTGTGTGCTAATACAGATGCCTAAAAAATTTAACATAATATTTTCATTGCAGATTTCTTGCTCATATTGTAGAAATTGTTACACAAAACTTTGTACGTGCAAAAAAGCTGGGTTGCTGTATACACGAATATGTAAAAATTGCAATGGAGATAAGTGCGAAAAAATTGCGAAAAGGAAGCAACCATCACTGTTACTTTTAATAAAGAGGTTGGAGAAGTCGTCGACTTAGAAAATGAAATGATCGAAGATAATCTAAGGCGCAACACTTGTTATACAGGAAAAACTTATATTTCAAATGCTGTAGATGAAAGCGTTTATAATTTTCATAGCGAATAAAAATTTTCTCGCATGCACAATTACATACTTTTAAAAAATATACTCTATAACTTTCTGCTTATTGCACTTGATTGTAAGAACGCAAAGTAGCTCATTACTGATAAAAATTTGTGGAATCGGTTAGTTTTGTTCAATGAAAAAAAACCTTACTCGAGAGTATGCCCAATCGATTGGAAATATTGTAAAACGTGAAAAAAATTTATCCCGTAATAGTACATTACGATACTAGTGCGCGAGAAAGGCGATTGACGCACGCGTGTCAGTTCGCTCACGAGCGCTAGTGAGTGTGCGAAGACACGCGTGTGTCAATTACGTAACCTCTCGCACGTGTGGTGTATACAACTTTTCAACACATCGTGCGCGGGGAACGAAATTATGAGCCATATAATGTGGCTCTGCAAAGATCTCGACGTACACACACACTCGCAGGAGTGAGCAGCACGAGTTGTGAGTCGCGTGTGTAAATCGAGGTCTTTAGAGTCAAAACAAATGGCTCATAATCGAGGACCCCGTGCATGGCCTGTCGAGAAGACTTTTTTTTCACCATTAATAACATTGTTGAACTTAAAAATAATAATTATTGTTCACAGCCTGGCTTACAAACTGAAATCCAATCCAGCGTCGG